GTCTCCTTCTCTTTATCTTTTTTGTTTTTATATCAATTTCCTTATTTGTCTCTTTTTGTCTCTTTATTTGTCCTCCGAATCTTCTGTCTCCTTTTTATCCTTTTTGTCTCCTTTTTTATTATTCAATGATAATTATATAATAAATATAATAAACATAAATATGTTTAATATATTTTTATATTTATAGATATATATATAATATATTATTTATATATAAATATATATAATATATTATTTATATAACAAATAAAACAAATATAATATAGTTTAAATTAATATGAAGATTATGTCCCCTTGTGTCTCCTTTTGTCTCTTTTACCTTTTTGCCCTTTTATTTATTTCTTTTCGTCTCTTTTTTATATTTTCTTTACTTTATTTTTTGTCTGCTTTTCATTCTTTTGTCTCCTGTCTACGTCACTTGTTTCCTTTTAATCATTTTGTCTTCTTTCATTTCTTTTGTTTGTGTTGTGTTTTGTTTATTATTATTCGTCCCCTTTAAACCAGTTTGTCTCCTTTTATCATTTGCATTTCCTTTCATCATGTTTATCTCCTTTTATTATTTTTATACCTTTTATCTCCCTTAAATCATTTTATCTCCTTTAAATCATTTTACCTCCTTTAAATCATTTGTCTCCTTTAAACATTTTATCCATTGTATTGTCTTCTTTTATCATTTCTGTCTCCTTTTGATATTTTGTCTCCTTCAAATCATTTTGTCTCCTGTTCTGCTTTTTGTCTTTGTTGTTTCTTTTTTTCATTTATCTTCTTTCAATCATTTTGTCTCTTTTAATTCATTTATATCTTTTAAATAATTTGTCTCCTAAATAATTTATCTCTTGAATAATTTGTCTCCTTTAAATCATTTTACCTTTTCAAAATAATTTGTCTCCTTTTATTCTTTTACCTTTCTTTTAAAAAAGTGCCTCCTTTTAAAATGTTTGCCTCTTTTAAATAACTTTGTCTCTTTTAAATCACTTTATCTTTTGAAAATAATTAAAATAATTTGCCTCTCTCTTAAATAATCTGTCTCTTTTAAATAATTAATGTCTATCTCTCTTAAACAATTTGATCTTTTAAACAATTTGATCTTTCAAACAATATAATCTTTAAAACAATTTAATCTTTAAAACTCTTTATCTTTTTTTTAAATTTAATCTCAAAACCAACATGTCTCCTTCAAAACAAGTTGTCTCCTTTATCCCTGTCCGTTTGCTGCTGCGCAGTCGTTGCCAGCAGTTGTCCCCCCGCCCTCCGCAGCAGCAGCAGCAGCAGCAGCAGCAGCAGCAGCAGCAGCAGCAGGGGGGGGGGAGGTGTGGGGCCCCACAAGTGTCTCCTCCGCGGTCCAGTGGTGTCGATCCCACTTGGCTCGATCCCTGTTTTATTCGGAGTTGTGTAGAGACACCCGAATGGCCCGGCTTTACCAGAGGGCCCTTCAGGGAGACACTTCGCTTCTCCGCAGATTCACCACTTACCCCGGAGGTAAACCCTAAACCCTAAACCCTAAACCCTCGAAGCCTTCTTGGCTTTCGCAGGCGCTCAGCCGCTTCTTTTAAACAGATCTCGCGCTTGCACCGCTAATTCGCACTAGCTAGCTAGCTAGCTAGCCAACTAGCTGGCTGGCTAGCTAGCCAGCTGGCTGGCTAGCTGGCTGGCTGGCTAGCTAGCCAACTAGCTAGCTGACTGGCTAGCTGGCTAGCTAGCTGACTGGTTAGCCCCTGGGTAGCTAAGAAGTTAGCTAGCTAGCTGACTTCCTGGGTAGTTAGCTGGCTAGCTAGCTAGCTAGCTAGCCGGGTAGTAAGCTAGTTAGCTAGCTAGCTAGCTGGTTAGTTAGCCAGATAAGTGCGGGCCTGCGGCCAGCGGTAAACCCTAAACCCTAAACCCTCGAGGGTTTGTGGGGTTTGGCTGCAGTGAAGGCGCGGCGCTCAGTGTCTCCTTTTGGGATCGGAAATCTCACCATCGAACACGATCCCAACTCCCCCTCGCATGCAGCCCTTTTTCTCTTCGGGACTCTTTGCAGGGGCCCCCTCGCTGCTGCTTGCCTGTAAACCCTAAACCCTAAACCCTAAACCCTAGCTTTCGCGGCAGCCGACTCCCGCATGCAGCCCTGTTTTCCCCGGGGGCCAGGCTGCCCCGTGGGCCCAAAGCCTAAACCCTAAACCCTAGCTTTCGCCGCTTGCACGCATGCATGCACGCAGACCCTAAACCGTAAACCCTAGCTTTCACCGCTTGCATGCATGCATGCAGCCGCCTCGAGGAGACTTTTGGGGCTTTCCCTGGACAAAAGGAAGCAGAAGAATTCACTTTGGAACAAATTGACCAACTTATGCAGCAGGCCACATCTCTGGGGGCCCCCTCGGAGGGGCCCCTCGAGGAGGGGGCCCCCATAGGGGCCCCAGAGGGGCCCCTAGAGGAGGGGGCCCCCATGGGAGCCCCCGAGGGGGCCCCCGAGGGGCCCCTTGAGGAGGGAGGCCCCCTGGGGGCCCCTGAGGGGCCCCTCGAGGAGACAGCGCCCTGAGCGCGGGCTTCTTAAGCGCTCCCGGCAAAAAAAAAGGATCCTTAGCTGCTGCTGCTGCAGTTTGCTGCAGCAGCTGCTGCTGCTGCTGCTAGGTGGGTTTGCTGCAGCTGCTGCTGCAGCTGCTGTTCATCTGTATAGATGCATTTACATTGCAGGAAATATATATTTTAAAATGTCCTTGCACATATTTAAATACTTTTAAACCTAAACATTAAATAAATCCAATAAGAGACAAAAAGTTTCTTTTGATTTATTTAAAATATATAAATCCAAAAGGAGACAAAACGTTTCTTTTGTTTGCTTCGCCCAGCTGCGGTGTCTGTACACCTCAGCCCCTGCACGCTACCTCAGTCTCCAGCTGTCTCCTCCAAACCCTAAACCCTAAACCCTCGAGGGCAGAGACTAGCAGCAAGAAGCACGAAGGAGACAAAGTAGCAATTGCGTTTGCTGCGTCCATTCCTGATAAAAAAATACAAAAGATTCTGCTGCTGCAGCTGTTCCAGCTGCTGCAGCTGCTGCTGCTGCTGCAGCGGCAGCAGCAGCAGCAACTCCACCACTCCCACTGCTCCAAATGCAATGCCGCTGCTGCCGCAGCAGCTGCTGCAGCAACTAACGCAGCAGCTGCTGCAACAGCTACTGCAGCAACTAATGTAGTAGCAGCTGCAGCAGCTACGGCAGCAACTGCTGCAGCTGCTGCAGCAGCAGCTATCACTACGACAGTAGCAGCAGCAGCTACTGCAGCAACAGCAACTACTGCAGTCACTGCTGCAGCAGCTATTACTACGACGGCAGCAGCAGCAGCTACTGCAGCCGCTGTTGCAGCAGCTGTTACTACGACAGCAACAGCAGCAGCTACTGCAGCAGCAGCAGCAGCAGCAGCAAATTAAAGAAGTCCCTGTCTCCTCAGGTCTTCGAAGGCCCTGAGGCTCATTACATTTCCGTCCGCGTCTTCGCACTCCAACTCCTGGTCTTGTTTGAAGGCCTAAATGCAGCAAATTAAAAAGGAGACAGTTTTGAAAAAGGAGACAGTTTTTGAAAAGGAGACACTTTTTAAAAAAGAGACAGTTTTGAAAAGGAGACAGTTTTAATAAAAAGCGTTTTAAAAAGAGGAGACAGTTTTGAAGAAAGACAGTCTTGTTTGAAGGCCTAAGTGCAACAAATTAAAAAGGAGACAGTTTTAAAAAGAAGACAGTTTTAAGGAAAGAAAGTTTTGTTTGAAAGCCTAAATGCAACAAATTAAAAAAGGAGACACTTTTTGAAAAGGAGACACTTATTGAAAAGGAGACAGTTCTAAAGAGGAGAGTTTTTAAAAGAGCAAATAAAGCAAAAAGGAGACACTTATAATAAAAGGAGACAATTTAAAAAGAGACAGTTTTAAAAAGGAGACAGTTCAGAAACGGAGACACTTTTAAAAAGATAATCAGAAAAGATATCAGCAAGGAGGACACAATTTAAAAGGAGACAATTTAAAAAGAGAAAATTTAAAAGGAGACAATTTAAAAAGGCAATTTAAAGAGACAACTTAAAAAGAGACAATTTAAAGGAGACAATTTGAAAAGTGACAATTTAAAAAGACAATTTAAAAAGACAATTTAAAAGGGGAATTCAGAAAAAGGTAATCTAAAAGGGGAGTCTGAAAAAAGACAATTAAAAAAAACAATTTAAAAAAACGATTTAAAAGGAGACAATCTGAAAAGACAATTTAGAAAGAAATTAAAAAAAATTTAAAAGGAGACAACTTGAGAAGAGACACTTCTCTCCGTTTAAAGGAGACAATCGAAAAAGATATATTTTTGTCTTCTTTAATTTCCTTTTTTCCTTTTTTGTCTCTTTCTTGTCTCCTTTTTGTCTCTTTTTTTGTCTCCTTTTTTCTCTTTTTTGTCTCTTCTTTTTTTTTGTTTTGTCTCCTTTTTGCCATTTATTTATCCGAGAGAGGCACTATTTAGGAGGAGACACTTCCTATAACTTTTTATAATAGATTTGTTTAAAAAGGAGACATTTTTTATCAAAACAGAATTTCTTTAAAAAGGAGACACTTCTTGAGAGACAATTTTAAAAGAAGTCCAAAGAGTGTCGAGGAAGAGACAAGAAAGGAGACACAAACAGCCAAAACCCTAAATTAGGGTATAGGGTTTAGGGTTTCTCACGTGTCCCTCGGCCTGCTGCTTCAGCTTTTCATAAAGCAGAATCGCGTCCTCTATCTTCGTTATTTCCTGCGCACCCAAACCCCAAACCCTAAACCCTAAACCCTAAACCCTAAAGCCTTGAATTTACTCCAATATCATGTCCAAATCTCTTTACTCAGTGAGCATTTAGGGAGACAAAAAAAGAGACAACAAAGAAACAAAAGAGAAACAAAAGGGAGACAGAAGATAAACAAAAAAGAGAGAATGGAGAAATAGAAAGGGGACAAAAAGGGGGACAGAAAAGGGACAAAAAAGGAGACAAAAAGAGACAAATAATCAGACAAAGAGGGGCCAAATAAAGAAAGAAAGAAGAGACAAATAGGGAGATAAAGAAGACAAATAAGGAGATGAAAACAGCCAAATGAGGAGATAAAAAGGGACACAAAGGAGACCAAAAGGAGACAAAAAGGAGACAAAAGGAGACAAGTGGAAAGGCAAGTAAGGAGACAAAAAGACCTAATAAGGAGACAAACAAGGAGACAAATAAGGAGACAAAAAAACAAAAAAGGGAACAAAAAAGGCCAAAAAATCCCCAAAAGGAGACAAAAAAGGCCCAAAAGAGAGCAAAAAGCAACCTCAAAAAGAGACAAAAAGCAGGCCATTAAGGAGACAAAAAGGAGACACAAAAGGAGACAAAAAGAGACAAAAAGGAGAAAAAAAGGGACGAAAAAGGAGAAAAATGAAATGAAAAAGACCTTGAAATGAGTGGTGTTTGGAATCTTGAGACAGCGCATGCCGAAGGAGTGTCTCCATTCGGCGAAGTGTCTCTCGAAGGCCCTGCGGCCCCAGTAGCTGAAGTTTCCGCAAATTTCGCATTTGAACTCTTGACCTGAAGCAAAAAAAGAAATAAAAAGAAATTAAAACGGATTTGAAGGAATATGCAGACTTAAATCCATTTCTAGACCATCACAGACAGAGAAAGCAAAAAAAATGATGCAGAAAAATGCAAAACACACAAAAAAGAGACAAAAAGGAGACGAGAGACAGAAATAAAGTAAAATGAAATAAAAGGAATAAAAATAAACAAAAGAAATAAAAAGAAATAAAAGGAAATAAAAGAAAAAATATATAAAGAAATAAAAGGAGATAAAACACATAAAAAATATATAAAGAAATAAAAAGGAAATAAAAAGAAGTAAAAGAAATAAAAAAGAAATAAAGGAATAAAGAAATAAAAATAAATAAAAATAAACCAAAAAAAGACAAAAGGGGGCAAAGTAGAGGCTAGGAACTGAGTGCAGCCCCTCTAAACCCTAAACCCTAAACCCTAAACCCTCACCGAGTCCGTGGAGTTTGTAGAGCCAGTAGGGGATGGGGCGGCCGTCAAACCCTAGAGCGCCAAAACCCAAAAAAATAAAACCAAACAAATAAATAAAACAATTAATTAATTAGATTAAGTTAATTAAATTAAATTAAACAAATTAAACTAAATTGATAAATTAAATTAACTAAATTAATTAAAATAAGTAAATAAATTACCAAGAGGAAGATTCAAAGGATTGTAAACTGGCCCTTCATCTTCCTCCGCCTCGCTCTCCTCCTCTGGCGCCGCCGCTTCTTCTTCTGCGCGCAAACCCTAAACCCTAAACCCTAAACCCTAAACCCTACACCCTAAACCCTACACCCTGAACCCTAAACCCTAGGTCCTAGTGCTGGGGCGCTGGTGGTCTTGCGAACGTCTCCAAAAGTAGTCGCTAAGCACCTATGCCCCGCAAACCCTAAACCCTAAACCCTAAACCCTAAACCCTAAACCCTAGGCAGCTGACCGTCAGTGGAGTCTTGCTCGTCTTCCTCGAGAGCTTCCTCTGCGTTGGTGGATTGTTTCTTTTGATGGTAAGCAATCGTTTGCTGCGCGCAGCCCCAAACCCTAAACCCTAAACCCTAAACCCTAAACCCTAAACCCTCGAGTTGGGGGCAGTTTGGCTGCTGCGGGACTCGTTTGAAGGCCACGGAGCTCGCGGGCAGCGCGCGCGGACGCCTGGACCTAGGGTTTAGGGTTTAGGGTTTAGGGTTTACGTTGATTTGTTCGCGCAACATGTCGGCTAGGGTTTTGATTCGAAATTCCAAAAAGGCGATTTGGCGGTCTTCTTCCTCCGAAGCTTTTGCTGCTGCTTCTGCTGCTGCAGCAGATCGCTCTGCTGCCTGCAGCAGCTTCTTCTTATATCCACTTCCCTAAATTCAGAAATAAATTAAATAATTTAATTTAATTTGATTAAATTGATTTAATTAAATTAATCAAATTAAAATAATTAAATTGATTTAATTAATTCATTTAAAACAATTGAATCGAAGGGAACGGATTTAAGGATGTGAGGAAACAGATAAGTGGACAAAAAGGAGACAAAGTAAGAGACAAAAAAAAGAGACAAATTAATAAATAAAAAGAGACAAATAAAGAAATAAAAGCAGACAAATAAATGCAAGTAAAGAGACAAATAAGGAAAAAAGAGACAAATTAATGCAAATAAAGGGACAAAAAAGTCACAAAAGGAGACAAATAAAGAGACAAATGGTGAGATAAAAGGAGACAAATAAAAAGACAAATAAGGAGACAAATAAGGAGACAAATTAATGCAACTAAAGAGACAAACAAAGACAAATAAGGAGACAAATAAGGAGACAAAAGGGGAGATAAAAGGAGACAAATAAAAAGAAAAATAAAGACAAATAAGGAGACAAATGGAGAGACAAAGGAGGAGAAAAGAAGAGACAAATAAAAGAGACAAAAAGGAGACAACAAGAGAAAAGGAGACAAAAAAGACCAAAAAAGACGCACAAAAGACAAAAAAGAGACAAAAAAGGGACAAAAAGGAGACAAGGAGACACAAAAGAGACAAAAAAGAAACAAAAAAGGGGACAAAAAGGGGACAAAAAGTGGAAACAAAAGAGGAAGAAAAGGGCGGAGAAGAGGCGAAAAAAGCGGGAAAAGGGGACAAAAAAGAAGCAAAAAGACCTGTTGGTAATGCTGAAAAGTGCTGGGAGTTGCAAACAACTTGTCGGAGACGGGACAGTAGAGACTGCTGCTGCGGGTGGGCTCTTGCCACCCCACAAACTGTCTCCGCGAGAAGAGACTGTCGAAGTCTTTTTCGAAACTTTCCAAAACCTGGAGACAAATTCGGAGGCAGTTGGAGACAGTTGGAGACAGCTGGAGACAGGGCTTTGCAGAGTTGCAGTTGAAGAGACAAAAGGCACAAAAAAGGAGACAAAAGGGGCAAAAAGAGACGAAAAAGGAGACAAAAAGGGGACAAAAAGGCACAAAAAGAGACAAAAAGAGACAAATAAGGGGACAAAAAGGGGACAAATGGTGGGACAAAAAGGGGACAAAAAGGACACAGATAATGGGACAACAAGGGGACAAAAAGGAGACAAAAAGGACACCATGAATCGACAAAAAGGCGAAAGAAGGGACTAAAAAGAGGAAACAAAAGCAGGCAAAAAAAGAAAATAAAAAGACAAAGGAGACAACAAGGAGACAAAAAAGGAGCCAAAAAGGAGCCAAAAAGCAGACAAGAAGGAGCCAAAAAGGAGCCGAAAAGGAGCCAGAAAAAAGAGACAAAAGGAGACAAAAAAGGAGACAAAAGGAGCCAAAAGGACCTTGTTTTGGTCGGCAAGCGGGTTGAGTCTGAAGAAGAAGTCCTGGAGGTACTCCGCTGTCTCCTGCAGAAAGTCTTTGAAGTCTTTTTGTTTGTACTTCAAGTGGCGGGGAATTTTGGAGAAGTCCCCGAGGCCCCGCAGAAAGCCCAAGTAGTCTCCTGTCTCCTTTGTCTCCTCCAGCAGCAGCGCCCGCTGCTGCAGCTGCTCCTCAGACGCGCCCTTCTTCCGCAGGCGCAGCAGCTGCAGCAGCAGCAGCAGCAGCAGCAGCAGCAGCAGCAGCGGCAGCGGCGGCGGCAGCAGCAGCGGCGGCAGAGGAGGAGACACTTGGAGAGAGTTTAGGGAGACAGCTGGGGGAGACAGTTTGGGGGTTTTCAGGGGCCAGTTGGAGGGGTTTTGAGGGGACAGTTTCAGGGGTTTAGGGAGACACTTTTGAGGGTTTAAGGAGACACTTTTGAGGGTTTGAGGAGACACTTTTGAGGGTTTAAGGGGACAATTTTTGGGGGTCTCAGGAGACACTTTTTGCGGGTTTACGGAGATGCTTTTGAGGGTTTAAGGAGACACCATTTGAGCGTTTAAAGGGACACTCCTTGAGGGTTTAAGGAGACACTTTTGAGGGTTTAAGGAGACACTTGAGGGGACAAAAGGAGACAAACAGAAGCAAAAGGAGACAACAGCACAACAGCAGCCAAAAGGACGCAGCAAGAAATAAAAGGAGGCTAAAAAGAGGCAAAGATGACACAAAAAAGAGACAAAAAGGCGCAAAAAAGGGACAGGAAGGAGACAAAAAGGAGACAAAAAGGGACAAAAAGAGGACAATAAAAGAGATAACAGAGCAGACAATAAAGAGGACAATAAAGAAGACGAAAAGGAGACAAAAGGAGTCAGAAAGGAGGTAAAAAAGAGGCAAAAAAGAGGCAAAATGAGGCAAAAAAGGGACAAAAAGGAGCCAAAGAGAGCCAAAAAGAGGCAAAAAGGGGACAATAAAAGAGACAACGGAGCAGACAATAAAGGGGACAATACAGGAGACAAAAGGGAGACAAAAAGGCGCCAAAAAGGAGCCAAAAGGGAGACAAAAAGGAGCCAAAAAGGGCCAAAAAGGGCCAAAGAGGGACAAAAAGGACCTCTTTTTCTTTGATTTGTTTTTGGAAAAAAGCAGACAATAAAGGGGACAATACAG